GCCTAAAAACTGGCTTTATTTGTTTTGTTCTTTCCATTAGTTGACTATAATTCAGGTACTTTCTTGTTAATCTAAATTGTAACTTGCACTGTAAAACCTTAACTTCTACATTCCTTAAGTTATATATCTGTATCAACTCAGGTGATCCAAAGTTGGCCTGGTCTTAAATCTCTTCATACCTATACGGCTTAATATTTTCCCTTACATTTTTACCAGATGCTATTATTATGAAAGTCATGTATATAGATTGTAGAAATTCTGTTTAAAAACTTTTAAAATCTGTTTTATATCATTTTGTGTAGTGATAGTCTCTTAGGGTTCAGAAAAGTAAGTTCCTCTATTTTTATAAACTCACCTCTCCTTTTATTAGACTATGGCAGCTATGTAACCCATTAAGGTTCACTTTTAGCCTTCATTGATCGGAAAGTCACTGGCCGATTTTCTGATAAAATGAAGTTACATCACTTATTCTGTTTTCTAGCATAATTTTTAGTTTAGAACCATTCCCCTATTTCCCTTTCTCTCCTGCCTTTCATCTATATTCCTCAGCTTTTTAAAATACTTTCTAAAGGATTTTTTTGTTTTGTTTTAATGTTGGCTTTTAGTATGTGCTGCTTCAAATCCATTTGGAAATCTTGGCAAGAGTTTTTTATTTACATTTAAATAATTGCTTTACAAATTCTGATTCATACCAAAGGTACCTAGCAAGCAAGTGCTCTTGTTTTTACTGTTTTTATATTTTTACTTGGCTTAGTTGTTTCTTATAACTATTATTCACATCCTCTATTTCATATATTACTAATATAAAAGAAATACTAAAATATTTTTTGGCAATACCTCAGCTTATGAATGAGAAAAATTTGTTACCTTTTATTTTTATAGAAATTATGCGTATATTCTTTGCACATTTTCTAAAATAAAAATATTTTAGTCCATAAAAAGATTGCATATAATTGTATTATGCAAACCAATTCCCTATTATAATTTGTTACATATTTTTCTATTTTTGTTCTCTCTCTACATATATACATACACCTAGGTAATTTACGAAAAATAGGATAATATTACCAATGTTGTTTGAAATTGTTTTCTTAATTAAACAATATGATATGATCAACTTCTATGCTGACAATAATCATTTGTGTTATAATCTGAGTGATTTTTATGTTTTGTTCAATGACTGTACCAAAATATAACTAATTTCTTATTGATAAACTTATATGTTGCTAGATAATTTCTTCCTTTTTTCTTTCTTCCTCTATCATAAATAACTTAGAGATTAACATCCTTGCAAACCTGTATATGCAAATATGTCTGTTTTCTTAAGAAAATGTTTAGAAGTGGAATTAATGGCTAAAAAAGAATCAGTTTTAAAAAGTAATTTTGATAAATATTGCTTAAATGCTGTCCGGAATACTTGTGGCACTTACATTTCCATTGTCATTGTAGGAGAATGCCTGTTTCCATATGCTCCAAGAAACAAGGGTTTTTTAAAAAAGCTATTGGTCAATTCAACATGATATATAAAACAAACCATTTCGTCATTGCTTTATTTCACTTTTGTAAATTACAAAAATTAAACAGCATTTGTGTACTCACTGATCATTTGTATTTTCATACTTATGAGTTAATGTCTCATGATCATAATTTATTTTCTTGTTGGAGTGTTTTTTATTTACATGGATTTTTAGATTTCTTTGCATATTACGACAACATTTTAGACTTTTTCCCCTGATATTTCATTTTCTTTACAGTCTTGAAGGTTATTCAAAATTAAATGTTAAGCTGGAAAGTTTTAGTATTTTACTTAAATGACTTTGATGTCATGCTTCAAAATATTTTGAACACTTTAAATATATACATTCACACAAATATATATACACCCACACAATTTATCTGTATTGTGTTTATGACTTTCAGAATTTTGTATTCTCCATGCTTCTAACTAAAATTTTGGTGCATAAAAAGTATCTTATATAAAACCTATAGTAAATCTTTAAAAAATGTGCTTTTCCATCTTTAATAACATATGTTTTGGTAAATACCTGATTCAGAGAGCCAATGAATTAGAGTCGGCATATGAGTTTCACATAGATTCTTATACTAGGTAAGTATTTACCAAAACATATATTAGAAGCAGAAAGTTGTTAAAAAGGTTTACCAGACAAAAAGACTAGAAAGTGTATTAAGTGTACCTGGCCTTGACATCTTATTCTGTATAATCTAGTCTCCATCTTAATTCAGAAAAGCTAATCTGTAAAACTGTTCAAATATTTGAACAATATTTGATAATGCTTACATATATTTTCAAGATAATATCAGGAAACAGAGTTCTGTCATGTATATAAGGAATTAATAGGACAGAACATCAGATGTCTAGATGAATTATAGCTGTGCTTAATTACACAATAATCTGCCTTCTTAGTAGAAATTGCTTATTTCCAGCATTTACTGTAAAAAAGTGACTAAGTCGGTTTACAAAAATATACAATCCTATGGATTTCTTTAATTCATTTAAATTTTGTTCATTCTAATTCTTTTTGGTGCGTGATAATAGCAAGTTATCTTAGTGGAAAATACAGATTCATTCATTAAAGAATATTAAATCTTTTGTGCCCAAGTGCCTTAATAAATAAGTAGAATCTTAACTTTTCTGATAAGCATTCCAGTAAAAACTAATGTACATAGATATGCCTTGAGCCACTGTTTCTACTTTCATCTTTCTCTCCACACATATTGCCATGTCTGCTGTGTAGTTGCCTGCTTATGTGTACAGCCATTTCAATAAATATGTTATTTTAACATTTTATCTTTTCAATTTCAAATAGGAATTTATAGTTGGTAAAAATAAAAATTTTAAAGTGATTTAATATTGTCATTTTCATGTTCTCAATAGTGTTATAGATCCCCTGAGAAAATGTCAAATAAAATATAATATTTCAGAGGTGAAAGCATGTTTGAAAATGATTTTTATTTATTATAAAGTGTTTCTGATTTTCCAAAGATCAGTTATCTTAAGAGTGAACTGAAAATTGCTTGTGTTTTTTAGTGAAGATACTTGTATTTCAGATTTTCAAGGACAATTTCTTTATGAACTAGTATTTCTTTTTTAAGTTACTCGTAATTATGAGCTCACAATTGAAAACAAAACACTAATATACATCAAGTTTTAATGAGGAATAATTAACTATTTTATAGA